GCTATATAAGTGTAAGCAATTATTATTATTATTATTATTATTATTTACTACCCCAGCCCTCCAGAGACCATGTCCTCTTGGAAGGATTTGATATCTTCAGTATCTTTTCAAACACTAACGTGGAAAGAAAGCAGAGACAGTACAGGCCTGGCTCTGAGCTTGAAATCGAAGTCACGCCTTCACTGCTGCAGGGGGCTCTCCTCTCAGAGCAGCACAACTCTCAGAGAGACCGTCGGCAGCTCTCTAACAGGACTCCCCTCTTCCTCGGTTCTTAATTCCTTCTCATCTTCACAGCGTGCATGCTGGGATCTGGATCTTTCGACACGCTGTTGCTTTAATGATCATACTGTATTGGTGCTGTACACATGGCCAGTGAGCAGTCTGTGGTCCCTGGACATAGAGCTGTCTGCAGGAAAGAGGTCTGGTGGAGAAAGAGGGTGTTGCTGTGAGCAGAGGTGGTCTTGCGCCTCGCGATAGGTAGTTTGTTGTGATTTTGCTGCTGACAGCTGATGGAAATGACTGGAAGGGCTGTGTTCTCATTCTTGCAGTCAGTGCTGTCTCATTAGTACTGTATTTTAAATGCGAGTTTCACCACTGCGAAAACTAATATACAGTAATGGTTGGATCTGAGGACATTGGAGACCACATGCATGTTCAGTACTTTGTGAAACGATTAGAAGCACGATGTTCCTGATGCTGCACGTTTGACAGGTTGCAATGCGGTCTTCCCCAGAACGTGGAAGCAGTGAAGGAAGAGTTCTTCCTCTACGAGTTCACTATCAACACCAGCATAAGCGAGATGAAGAGGAAGAAGCAGGAACTGGAGGAGGAAATCCAGGAGAAAAACGCCACCATAAAGCAGAAGCAGCAGGTGATGGAGCTCAAAGAGGAGCTGAAGAGAGAGACCGAAGATGAGAAGCGGCAGGCGGAGAGCGACCGGCGCAGGTACGAGCAGCTGGCCGAGGAGCACGACCGCGAGCACGCCGTGGCCACCGCCGCCGCCGTCTCCACCTCGGTGGGCGGCGCCGTGGCCTCGGGTCTGCTGTTCTTCGTGCCGGTCGTCGGCCCTGTCCTGGCCGCGGCGACGCTGGCGGGGACGGTCACCGGGACAGCGGTGGCCTCGGTCAAGGCCGTGGAATACCGGGACAAGATGAAAGAGGCCGCAGAGAAAGAGAAAAGGACCAGAGACAAGATCACCCGGCTGGCGTCCGACATTCAGAAAAACAGGAACGCGATTGAGGAGGAGACCAGGAAAATCGCAGAGATGCGCACGGAAATAGGTAGGAAATAGGTTCCCTGATTTATTATTTTAACATCGCTTGGCTTGCTTTTCTGCCTCGTGTGCATCCGTTTATTTCTAGTATTTCAGCGACAGCCTGTGAGGCCCGGGGGTGAAGGGGCACGCTGGCCAGTACCTGCGGTGTGCGGGGGGACCCCATCGCCTGCACAGGGCTACAGCAGCGTCAGGATCGTTCTCATCGTCCCTCCATCCCAGTGTCCCAGCGGAGTGGCCCGAGACTCCGCAGTCCCGCCCTGACACCGCCCCCCCCACCCTGTTCTCCTCATTCTTCAGGGGGGGGAACACGGCGCCTGGGCGCCCCTCTGGTGTCTCGGCCTTCTCCTGGGTCCAGTCTGAGCGTTTCCCCTTCCCAGCCAGCAGACTGGGCCAGGACGAAGCCCAGCGCAGCGTCACGCCCCAAGGGCAGGTAGAGCAGAGCCCTGCGTGACCACAGCTCACCACCACACTCTTCCTCCCTGCAGCCACGTTCGAGAGAGTAACCCAAAAGCTGACGGATTTCAAGAAGCGTCTCCACGGCGACGCTGGCCTCAGCCAGTTTGTGGAGGTGCTGGGCGAGTTCTTTGAGGTAAGAACAGAAACCGTGAAATTTAATGTTTGACAGATATATAAAAATCAATGCAGTCGGCACAAACCTGGCTATTGTAGTTGGTAAAAGGCAATACAGACGGGTGATTGAGTTGAATCCTTAAGGAGAAATAAATGAACTGTGTGTGGAAGACTGTATGTGACAAGATGTCAAGCTGAAGTAAGATAAGATCTGACTTTAACTGCAGACTGGAAGACGTGTCTGTGTGGAGCTTGCATGCTGTGTTCTAGTCCACGGGAGCTACCTTTGTCTTGCTTGACTCCAGCGTGTGTCCTGTGACAGGACAGGGCCTGCTCTCATCCAGAGCAAAGACGGAGCAGCTGAGGAGACTCTCCCAGGAAAAATAACACTCACACACACACACACACACACACACACACGCACAAGCACACGCACACACAGTACTGGGGTGTGGGCTATTTGGGGGATTCCTCTGGAGCTCTCCACAGCTGTGACCTTGGGCCAGTGCTCTGATTTCCTCAGCCAGACGAGTTAATGTCAAAGTATTAAGTTCTCTGTTCCTTCGTATTTATCAGCTCATTTGTGTCAGATGACTGGTTAGCTTGGCTGAAATAGGATTTTTCTACTTAAACTCCAGACAGTCTATCACTACAGATGCATTGTCTGTGGAGCAGTAAAAGAAATGTTACTGGTGTTTCCTCCAACAGACCATGCTATTGGCACTGGGGATTATAAAACGGACAGAGGAAATATACCATCGGACTTTAAAGAACCACAGTTCAAAGAGTATGATCAGTAAAAAATTCCTTGAGAAAACAAAGGTAAGTGACATCGCATTTCAGTCCAGCTCCTCGTAACTTGTCTAAAGATCAGCCTTCTGTATTTCTCACGCCGATTTGTGCTGCTGTTCAGACACATGTGAGATGTGTTGCTCACGGTCTCCCGAGACAAAACCATGTTTTCCTGCAAAACAACAGACACAAGTGTGCCGAGCGATCAGTGTGGCGAATAGTCTACCGTCACAGGTCCTTCTGCTGCCTCACGGACTGGGGACACTGGTACACACACACTCCCAGGACAGGACACTGCTGGGCTGCTTTCTCCCAGTGCACTCCAGGTCAAATAAGGAAACCGTTTTCGCTTTAAGTCACAAGAAGAAGACAAACGGGCAGGTCTGTGTCCTGATCTCACAATCTTCCTGAGGGCCACAACACCTCCGCCATGTGGCTGTCCATTCCCATGGGCACGTCCCTTCCTGGCACAAGTACGGCGTCAGGGAGGGGCCAGCGGTAGGAAAAACATCGAGGGAAGGATGTACAATTCGTGCGCACGAAAGAACGTTTTCTGTCTCTTTCCTCCGTTTTCTCTGTCTAGTCGCACGCACATAGAAAGTTTCTAAAACGCCAGCGTTATCCCCGGCTCCTGACAACGCTGTCAAACGCTAGCGAACACGTTACCGCGACTTCATAGTCGTACAATGAAGCCTACAGGAAGTGTCTGACGCTGCTGTAGAGGAGGGTGACGGATAGAGATGATCAAGTTTTATTTTGGTTTGGGGATGAGTTACTCGGGCAGTGTAGCTACTGTACTCTTGAACTACTAGTGAGGACTGCACCTCTCTTTCACTGCTAGTGCCACACCTGTCCTAGCAGTCCTAGAAAACGTTATTTCGTGCGCAAGAGTTAAAGAAAGCGAGGGAACCATTTAGGTATTCCGTGCGCACGAACTGTAAAATCGTTCCCTCGATATCACTTTTTTTTCCCTACGGATGGCCCCTCCCGGGCTCCGTACAAAATCCGAGCTATTTCGCCTTCTTGTTCCATGACTGGGCTCGTGGTTGTCTTCCAGTACCGCAGGGACTGCCTGAAGACCTTCATGAGAGATATTGAACAGCTGGAGCTGGTGAGAGAAACCAAACCAGCCCTCAAGTGAGCTCCGCCCTGCCGGACCCCCTCGGATTCTCTCCCGGCGCGGCCCCACGCTGCTGTGCTTCATGCTGACTCTCTGGCTCGCCTCCCCCCCCAGTGCATCAGTATGGGGGTGCGCCTGTAACCCCACTTAGCTCTCGTAACTGCCTGTGTGCCTGCAGGCTGGGCTCTCTCGTGTGTGTGTGTATGTATTTCCTGAGGTGTGTGTGTTTCCTGAGGCTTGACCACTGGCTGGGCTCGTGTGTGTGTGTGTGTGTGTGTGTGTGTGTGTGTGTGTATTTCCTGAGGCTTGACCGCTAGCTGGGCTCGTGTGTGTGTGTTTCCTGAGGCTTGACCGCTATCTGGGCTCTTTTGTGTGTGTGTGTGTGTGTGTGTGTGTGTGTGTTTCCTGAGGCTTGACCACTGGCTGGGCTCGTGTGTGTGTGTGTGTGTGTGTTTCCTGAGTGCCTGGTATATTACACAGCAGAGGAAGGGTCATGTCTGTGAAACTGCTTGTTATTGTCTTGTTGCTTTGAGCCCTTTTCAATGCAGTTGTATCGACAGCTGGGGAGGGATGAAGGCAGCCGACGAGACTGGCACCTGATCCTGCACCCCCTCCTCTTCCTCGCTCGTGTGTGGGTCACCCCAACGTTTTCCCTACGTTCCATAACCACTACTACCGGCACACAGACCCCGCCGCTGTCATCCCCCGCCAGTACCCCTCTACTGGCTGAGCTTTCGGAGACGCGTCGTCCTCTCCACTGCGGCGCTGAGGGGGTCCGAGGCGAAGGGCCGGGCCTGGCAGTCAGAGGCGGGAGGAAGTGCCTGTTTTCACCCCTCCTCTCCAGCTACTCTTCTCTCAGCTGTCAGTCGGACGATAACGAGGTGCTCGAGGGTTTTTACTTTGTAAGGACAATAAAGTGAAACTCTTCCTGGGGTGTCCCGTGTGACCTGATTCCTGCGCAGAGGCTGATCTGAAAATGAAACATTCTCCCCCTCCCCTGGAGATGGACTGCGCCGTTACCCCCTGACCTTTCACCCTGGCAGCCTCTCCGCCTACTGCTCCCTATGTAAAGGGGACGCCCCGAACTTCCCCTGCTCCCCCTTTCTCTCGCTGGTGAGCGGCAGCACCATCTGGACACCCCCACACAAACTGGACACCCCAGCTTCCCTTCTCTGGACATCGCATGACGATGACCCTCTCCCCCTGGTGTGAGTGAACAGCTCTCTCAATTTTCAATTCGATTCCAGGTGCTTTATTGGCATGACCGGTGGGTACAATCAGTGTTGCCAAAGTGAATAAAAATAATGAAATTCACATGAAGCAGAACAAAAAATAAAAGAAAAAAAATCTACATTTACAACAAAGACATATTATAAAATATTGACATATACTGTAGACAGATGGAACATTACTGGGAGACAGACTCACTGTTCCTCAGGCTGGGACAGGTTAACTCCTCCCTCTCCCAGTAGGATTGGGACCCGTTGTGATTCTCTCTCTCTCTCATGTGAGTGAACAGTTTATTTGGAGTACGAAAACTCTCCTTTGTTGTACAAATGCAGAATTCACTTTTACGGTTTATTATGGAGCAAAGTACAAGTTATGTTCCTGCTACACGTCTGCATGAGACAGAGGTCACAGTTCGTGAGTCTACTGACGCTTCGGTCGCGCCTGTATCACGCAATTTCCATGCTTGCGACAAACCATCATTCAACACCATCTTGACTGCTGCCACCTAGTGGACAGTTCGTGAAACAGAGGACGCTTGAGAATCTAAATTCTCTCACTGCTTTATCCAGTCCAGGGTCACTGGGGGAGACAGAGCCTATCCCAGCAAGCACCAGGCGCAATGTAGAGTATAACTTGGACACCAGTCCATCACACACTCCCGCTCACTCAAACTCACGGTCACTCACACACACACACACACTCACACCAGGGGCAATTTCTCCGGAAGACAATTAACCCCCCAGCATGTCTCTGGACTGTGGCGGGAAACCGGAGCACCCGGAGGGGACTCTCACGAGCACGATGAGAACATACAGACTCCACACAGACAGCACCCCCGGAATTGCACCCAGGGCGCCAGCGCAGGGCCCACCACTGCACCACCACGCCGCCTCGCATTCGAACGGTACTGTATGGTGAAGACCCAGCAGCCCTCAGGGGCCTGTCTGTGTGGAGTCTGCATGAGCTCCC